TGAAGACTTTAAATCCCCGAGGCAATTTGGAAGCATTGCAATGTGATGGACTCTTCTCTCAACACGGACACACGATACAGAGTCCTTTACCAGTTCTTGCAGTTCCTCTGCGCTGAATAATACGCCAGTTCGATATTTCATTCTATTACACAATTAAACTTCTCGGGAGCAGAAATATACCCACTTATATGGGCAAATACGCACATTGTTTCAGAACATACAAAACGTGCATAAACACACAAACACACGTCCTTCTGTAGTTCTTCTCAGTGTTGCCAACGCATCTCGTTCCGCAACTTCCCTTCGGAGACATAAAATTTAATTGTATGCGTAAGCTGCCTAACGGCTTGTGTATGTCTGGTCTCCAAGAGATAGTATCCGCGATATTAAACCCTGTAATGCCCACCGATTACTAAAAAGAATGTGGAATATTATGAATAAGATCTAAATTTGTGACGATGGTACATTAATTGTTTCTGGATATTGTCCAGCTTCCTGTTATTAAAAAAAAAGATTCAGATACTGGATTGTCTCCGTTTTGGCCCAATCGATAGACTTAGTTCGTCTCCTTGATCTCCATCATCCAACGGCAAGAAGCATCAATTTGACACACAGGTGTAGGGAAATGTTGTCCCTGTGCTTAACTAGGCACTACACCAGGAAGGCATATGGGGGAGTGGATGTACACATCCACATTTGTCCTCGGCACTAGGTGGAAGTGACTGGTCTGCTTCACGCTCCTGCCGCTTTACCCCCGGTACTCATTGGATAGGGGGTTGGGTGGACCCCAGGGCCAGTCTGGAGAATGTGGAGAAGAGAAAATTCTTGACCCTACCAGGACTCAAACTCCCGACTCTTGGTCATTCAGCCCGCAGCTAGTCGCTATACCGACTACGTTATGACAGACTAGTGTAAATATACAAATTCTTCATAGTCTTTCCAGAAATATCACCTGGTCATAAAATGACAACTTTATCTAAAAGCCTGAAGAAAGGAAATAAATTAGGTAGACATCTTACTCAAATAATGGCTTTCTGTCTTCTCTTTATGTATGAGTGCTTATTCACTTTACATATCAAATTTCATACATTTGATTTAAATAAACTTAAAATACATACTGAAACAGAGCTCTCTCACATCAGTAACTGTATAAACATTAANGTCGATAGACGTAGTTAGTCTCCTTGATCTCCATCATCCAACGGCAAGAAACATCAATTTGACAGACAGGTGTAAGGTAAAGTTGTCCCTGTGCCTAACTAGGCACTACACCAGGAAGGCATATGGGGGAGTGGATGTACAGATCCACATTTATTGTCCTCGGCACTAGTTGATGACTGGTCTGCTTCACGCTCCTGCTGTTTTACCCCCGGTACTCATTGGATAGGGAGTTGGGTGGACCCCAGAGCCAGTCTGGCGAATGTGGAGAAGAGAAAATTCTTGACCCTACCAGGACTCAAACTCCGACCTCTTGGTTGTTCAGCCCGTAGCTAGTCGCTATACCGACTACGTTATGACAGACTAGTGTAAATATCCAAATTCTTCAGTGTCTTCTCAGAAACATCACCTGGTCATAAAATGACAACTTTATCTAAAAGCCTGAAAAAAGGAAATAAATAAGGTAGACTTCTTACTCAAATAATGGCTTTCTGTCTTGTCTTTATGTATGAGTGCTTATTCACTTTACATATCAAATTTCATACATTTGATTTAAATAAACTTAAAATACATACTGAAAGAGAGCTCTCTCACATCAGTAACTGTATAAACATTAACTGCAAATACAAAACAACATGAAGTTCCACCAATCAAATATCAATTGTCTGCCATAACTTCATGCAACTTCATTTCCTACCATTTGTGTCAACACTTTCCAGCATCTTCTTTGAGGGTGACAGTACGATTGAACACTATCTGGAAAAGACGAAAAAAAACTTGTATACCATAATGAACATGGAAAGTAACAAATTTAATTGAATGTCACCAGATTTCCAACTGGGGACACAATTTGTGTTTCCTCAAATAGACCATGTGTTCAGTATNAGATCCACATTTATTGTCCTCGGCACTAGGTGATGAGTGGTCAGCTTCACGCTCCTGCTGTTTTACCCCCGGTACTCATTGGATAGGGAGTTGGGTGGACCCCAGAGCCAGTCTGGCGAATGTGGAGAAGAGAAAATTCTTGACCCTACCAGGACTCAAACTCCGACCTCTTGGTTGTTCAGCCCGTAGCTAGTCGCTATACCGACTACGTTATGACAGACTAGTGTAAATATNATGCTGCAGTAGCGCTGAAAATTACGAGCTACAGAAAGGAGAAATCTTGCACCGGGAATGCACTGTTATTGTGACTGTGAAATGGATGAGCAAACGAGATGTTACCATGATCTGCAGATTTCAATGAATGCAGAAATTACAAAGCCAAATGTTAAGGATGCAGACACTGGCAACCCTAAGTGTNCCAAATTCTTCAGTGTCTTCTCAGAAACATCACCTGGTCATAAAATGACAACTTTATCTAAAAGCCTGAAAAAAGGAAATAAATAAGGTAGACTTCTTACTCAAATAATGGCTTTCTGTCTTGTCTTTATGTATGAGTGCTTATTCACTTTACATATCAAATTTCATACATTTGATTTAAATAAGCTTAAAATACATACTGAAAGAGAGCTCTCTCACATCAGTAACTGTATAAACATTAACTGCAAATACAAAACAACATGAAGTTCCACCAATCAAATATCAATTGTCTGCCATAACTTCATGCAACTTCATTTCCTACCATTTGTGTCAACACTTTCCAGCATCTTCTTTGAGGGTGACAGTACGATTGAACACTATCTGGAAAAGACGAAAAAAAACTTGTATACCATAATGAACATAGAAAGTAACAAATTTAATTGAATGTCACCAGATTTCCAATTGGGGACACAATTTGTGTTTCCTCAAATAGACCATGTGTTCAGTATAAGGTACACAAGTGAAGAGGTCATCATATTTTCTCTGAAGTGACAGAACAACTGATTTATTAATTCCTAAGATCAGAGTGAATGTTGCAGAGTCTTGAACTGTACTAAAACCTTGCTGCAGTAGCACTGAAAATTACGAGCTACAGAAAGGAGAAATCGTGCACTGGGAATGCACTGTTATTGTGACTGTGAAATGGATGAGCAAACGATATGTTACCATGATCTGCAGATTTCAATGAATGCAGAAACTACAAAGCCAAATGTTAAGGATGCAGACACTGGCAAACCTAAGTGTTTTTGGGATTATAATCTAATAATGGTTGGTGTGGAAAACCAAAACACTGGTGGGTGGATAATATTAAAATGGATCTTAGAGAGACAGGATTTGGTGGTATGAACTGGACTGAACAAGATCAGTCCAGTGGCAGGCTCTTGTGAACACAGTGATGAACCTTAGGCTTTCTTAAAATGTTGGGAAGTAGGTGCACAACTGGCAGCTTCTCAAGAAGGGCTCAGCTCCATGAAGTTAATTAGTTAGTTAGTTTGTGGAAACTGCCCACATTCAAGCAAATGTGACAACGCAAGTATCATTGCTTAGCAACGGCGAGTAAACAGTGGTTGCTAGGCAAAGCGAGTAAACAGCTGTTGCTAGGCAAAGCCTACAACAATACAGACAGTGACATGTTTTCTATACATGGTGATTCACAAAGTGTTACCCCCAATTAGGGCATTCCTGAGGTAATTTGGAACAAAAGATTTTAATGTACTAATGTATCCAACTCATAATTAAAGAGATACAGTAATTTGAAAACTGGCGAAAAATCTTTTTTTCTTCGAATTTCAGTCAAAACAAATTAGAAATACAATACAAACACTTTTTAAATTGTTAATGTTTTAGGAAAGAAGCATTCTAAAACCATTNTTTTCAATTTCTTAATTTTGCATTGTGCAACATTTTTCATCGATTTTGTTACAAAATTACATTATTTTCAGCATCCCATTCTGTAAACATACCAATGGTTGCATATCACACCCTTCTATCCATCTGTTTCCTTTAAACTGTAGTGCTTTAGAAGATGACTGGATTTACATATGATTTTCAAAAATGTCTTCCTGCACGTCAACACAATCCGTTGCACGCGTATGAACCGCGCTCGTAGCATTTCACAGTTCCACACGTTTGTTCCTTATTGTCATCGCCGCATCCAGAATACGTTCAAGCAACGCTTCACGTGTTGGTACCTTTACCTGGTACACAATGTCCTTCATCCAGCCCCAAATGCAATAATCTGACGGCGTTAGATCTGGTGACCTGGGAGGCAAGGCGTTACAGCCTCCACGACCAATCCACCGCTGTGGGAAATGCCGATCCAAGTGAGCTGCTACTGCGCGGGAGAAGTGAGGAGGCACCCCATCATGCTGAAAGTACATCCGGCGTCTTGTTGCCAGAGGAACATCTTCAAGTAACTGTGGTAATTCTTCTTCTAAGAAGTGGAGGTAAATCTCACCAGTTAAGTGGCCAAGAAAAATGAATGGCCCGATTAGCTGATCATACAGAACACCACACCACACATTGACACCGAAAATTGAAAATTCGATTCTATCGTGGCATGGGGATTATTGTCTGCCCAAACATGTAAGTTGTGACTGTTGTTGACCCCATCCCGTGTAAACTGTGCTTCATCGCAGAACATTATAAAGCGGTACAACTGCCGATTTCCAGTTAACCAGTTGCAGAGCTGCAGACGAAGAGCACGGTCTCCTGGTTGTAGGTGTTTTACTTGCTGTAAATGATAAGGATGCAGCCCGTTCTCATGAAGAGTCCTCCACGCCATGGACTGAGAAACGCTGAACCACCGAGCTAGACGTCTTGTACTGGCGCGTGGACTGTGCTCTACAGCATTGAGAATGTTTTCTTCTTCGCACAATTCATGTTGAGAATTTCGTTTGTATTGTATACGAACGCTGGGGAGAACCAGTTTGTCTTAATGTGTTGAATGTACTACTAATGGATTTAGTATTCAGAATCCTGCAATTAGGATAATGCCGGTGATATTCGGCAGCAGCAGCTCTTGCATTTCCATCACATACACCCAAAACAAACACCATATCGGTGTATTCCTGTGGAAAATGTGTACGGTATCTTAACTTCACAAAGTCACCAACACAACGTCCTGTTTACTACTGGATTGCTAGCCAGTCTGCCTTATCTGCTGAAACAGCTGACTGGAATGCAAGGTCGCCCAGGAGGGAAGCATAGCGCTCCATTCACAATTATGCATTTCGAAAATCTATTGCTACTCTGTAACTATTGAAAATCGGCCACAAGTTTATAAGGAAATTTTGCAGGAAATAACCCCAGGAATATGTACCACAAGCCAGGGTAAAACTTCATGAATCACCCTGTATGTCCGAATCTAGGTTATATAAGAAGATACAATGAGTGGAAGTTTACAGTTACGGTTCTAGATTTCTACAGTTTTACAATTCTAGTTCAGTGTTCAAGGAGTTCACTATTGTTATTATAATTCTTCAATTCTTCAAACTCAAGTTCATCCGTGTATACTGTGCAACTGTAATAAATATTGTGACATGTTGCGCAACGGAGGACCCCTACCTCCCCAGCGGCACGTGGCGGTAACGCAGCGCTCTCGTTACTACTTGTCGCGCTACGCAGGACACCACTCCCCCTCCCCCGGCGGCGGTGACGTGCTGAGCAGAGCCGAAGCGAGCCGAATCCCAGCACACTGGTCGCTATGCAACGCGGATAAACAGTAGTTGCGATAGACGACCCTAGCAACAGCGAACGGAATAAAAGCCGGCTGAGCAGCAAGCAAGAGTCAGTGTGTTATCAACGGTTCTCAAGGCAGCTACCTACGAGTTAGTTCCAAGAGAGTTCTGAGTTAGCCAGCAACCAGTCAGTTGTATTCTGGCATTTGCAGTGTAGCATTTGTGATACTGCAGATAGCAGTAATTGTGAATCTGTAATTTGGGCGATTGTAAGTGCGAATGTGAAATAAAATTCGCTATATCAAATACGGCGTGAAGTTATTTGTCGCGTTATACACCCAACACACGACAATATTATAGGACAGTTCAACAAGTGGTTGTCTCTTCATATAATGACATCCCACAAGTTAATGGGCATTGTTGTTTTGAGATCAGAGGCTGCAACACTATTTGCTGAAAAGGAAGAAAGGTAGAAAATGGTATAATCAGTTTTCAAGAGACTGCTAAATCTTACCATTATAAATCGCTACATTCTTTATAAGCATTCAAACAACATATGCCATCTACAACATAGGGTACTGCTTGTTATAGCATTAGCTTACATATACCTGTAGTTCTCTAGAACAACAAGTGCAGGAAAGCCCTCGGCAAAGCCTTCACTGCCATGAACCTTGAAGTGCTATTTTATTGAAAAACCCCTCAAGCAGAAAGCAAAGTCCAAAATATAATGATGCTTTCTAAACATGAATAGAAAGCACATAACCACTTTAACATATGCCACAATGGAACAGATTTCCAAAATTATCACGAGTTTTTCATTTCTTTCGTTGTCACTAGTATGAATTCTGTAAAGTTGAACTACAATTTCATAATCTGTACATATAAAAATTTTGATACACAATGGCCAAATGGTTTAGTTGACATTCCAAATTAGATACACAGGCACAACTGAGAGGAAGTTGTGAAGGGGGATATTACCACTTTGGAATGTATTCATGCAGAAACTATGGCTGGTGCATGTTATGTAAAGTATTACATAAATGGACTGCATGCCTTCTGCAGTTACATAATACTACAGAATCTATCCTTTTACAAAGTCACATCTTAACACACTCACACCTAATCACCCACTTACCTACTCCAGCTGTCCACTCTTTAGCAAAATTATATGCCCATGCAAACTTTAACCTTATTAGTGGCAGCTTCCAAAGACAGACAAAGTAATACAGTGAAACTTCCATGTAAGGTTTCTTTTGGAACAGTGGATCTGAACGTTATACTGAGAAAATTCTTAAATAGCGGTAATATAACAGTGAAGTTACTGATATAAGATCACCATAACTGAACACTATATAAGTGAAAACTTTAAACTGAGGAACATTAAATAGGGCTTCAACTATATTAATTTTTGTTGCATATTTTTAATTTCAATTTTAATTCAACTTATAGAATTTTAACTGTCCATAAATTAGAGGTTAGTATTCCTTCCCACACCTGGCATAGCTTTTGGTCTCTACCATCAGTGGGTAGTCACTCATAACAATACAGAATGAGCAATATGTCTGACACAGAGACCAATCTGATTAACACTGACAGGTCATGCATTATTATATTTTACAGCTAATATAACCACTCTTGCTTAAACAAACATGTGTTCACCCTGGCAGATTTAGTGCCTTCCTTCTGTACATCCAGCAGCATTAAAGAGAACGATAAAGTGTGAGGTAAACTCCTTTGGATGGACAAACACATCGTGAGCTGGCAATTTATGCATACCACTTTAAAGTTTAGTTTCCAGTGTTACCTCTTTAACTTACTGTGATGATTTTTCTTTGCCACAATGCTTAACAGGCATGCTTTCTTCAAACCACTAGCTACAATGATCTATGGAGAAACAGATTATAATTTTCCTAATATGATACCATACAAAAATCAGTTGACTACACCCAAAGTGGCTAGAGTGAAGGTCACATGAGGAAGAATCTGCCCTTGCCACAAGCTTGTTACAATAATTTCAGTATAGCCTCCATTTTGACCAAATATGAGTGAGGGACATTGTAAAACATGAAAAGGAAGGAGAAGGAAAATAAGAAAAATTAGAATTAAAAAGAAAAATAGGAAGATTAAAAAGTTAGAGAAACAGAAGATTGCAGATAAGAAATCAGTGAGTTATTGTCTTACATGACTTTCACACCTGTTCAGAAAGTTATTACAAAATCTGACTCCCTCCTTGTGATTTTGGACTGAAAGGGCTATATTTACAACCACTGAATAAGGAACAATATTACATGTTTGCACTGTAACCATACAGATGTGAACACCCTATCTCACTCAAATTCGGCTGAAATGTGATGCTGCAGACTCACTTTTTCATGTGTGCTATCTGGATCCACAGAGAAAAAACCAGTTCTCTCAAACTGGAATTTGCTGTATACACATGCATTTCTCAGGGATACGTCTCCATAAGCCTGCAAAATCTGCAAGGATTCGTGATTGCAGTCCAATAAAAATCCCCCTGGAACTTCATCTGTGTCCTCTGGGTTCTTGTGTCTGAAACTAGTTTACAAGGAAAGCAGACATAACATAAAAATAAATTACTTGTAAGTGTCTAAACAGCTACAATTTCACAAAAGTGTGATAACAATAATCCTAAACCAGAACTTCCATACAGAAGTCAAGAAGTTTACTGTCTACTGCAAAGACTTCCAGTCCTACAGATATTCTGTTCTTTAATGTTATATTTAAACCAACTACAGCATCCTCTGGGAAATGGTCTATAATACTCACTTAGCAGAAGTGTGGGAGGCTATTTTATATACATAATGGTCAAATTACTGAGTCCTGAAATGGATTAATACTTACAGTCTTTCATACAGTCGGACTTCAATGTTCAGTGGCTGTGAAACCCAGTGAATGAAAGCTTTAGGTCTCTCCCTTACAGATGCTGGTTCACACTTTACTTCCAACGCCACCACATTTCCTCCAGAGTCCTTCAGCACTCTGGAGACAGCAATGACATAGCCCGAATGACGAAGCCCTACTGGTTGGTTAGGAGTCAGACGTCGGTATCCCTTGTCTCCTACCTGACATCAAAGAATACAACAGTACTGTGCACAGATTCTAAAATTGGTTTATGAATTGTAAGAGACATCTGTAATTGGTTTACTTTCCAGAATACTAAAGCCATCTAAACAAATTATTCTGCCAATTGTTCTGTATGGTTGTATGACTGACTGCTTTACTTATAATGAACATGTCAGAAATGTTTTACACAAAATCCTTAAGAAAATACCTGTACCTATGAGAGATAAAGTAATTAGATAGTTTGGGATATTACATAATAACTTGATACCAGTCACTTAATGCTGTTGGTGTCTTGGAGCTTACAGTGGACCGGATATTATAGCTTGGCTGGGGAGAGAAGAAACATATTCAAACCTCTGGTATGCAGCCACGTGGATGACAGAGGGAAACGAGAGGATAACCTTAACCTTTAATGGCTGAATGTTATAATTATATGCAGTAGGACACATGCTCTCTTTGGGAGTGCTGACAGTTTGACCTTGGGTTTGAAACCAAAAGAAACCCACGTAAGGTCATGTCAGTGGTTCATTCCTTAGCTCTGAACAATGAAATCATTTATCACGGTACTGGTTTCAAAACTATTTACATTTAGATATGACTGTTTATGACCTGCTCAGCCAAATATAGCCCAGCTTTGTTTCGAGAACTGATGAGGAAATATTCATCGGTGCTTGCATATGAGTGCTTCCATAGACTTCTAGGAAGTGTGACACATGCAAGGATTGGATTTCAGTGGCGAATTACCAGTTAGGAAGTCAGTGTCGGACTGTCTAATATTTCTTTATCGGTTAAAAAGCAAGTGTCAGACTGTCATATATTTCTTTGTATCATAAAGTGTGAAGTGATGCAGTTCAAACTCGTGTACAGTCTGAACAGATTATTATTGTATATAGTGTGATTATATTTACAACATCACCATGATTCAAGGTTGAAGAAAAAACAATGGGTAAGTCCTTTGGAATTTCATAACATATATAATAAAGATTATATTTTGCATTTCATGACAAAATAATCACAGTAATTTTTCGTTTGTAAAAGTTGCTCTTTTGTGTGTATGTAGGAAATTTTATTGTCTTTCAGTTTGTTTTTAGTTCATATTTCTATGTTGCATAGAACGAAAAATATATATTTTTTCTGAAAGTTTGCAATGTTAATTAATTAGGGCGATTTAAATACCGACTGCAGAGGGCTCCCAGCAATTTAAAAGTCCATACGTTAAAGGTTAA